GGACGTCCTCGGATCGCTCGAACAGCAGCCTGGGACGATCCTCTACTCGCGAACGGGGCGGAGGACGATCGATGGTGACGCGCGAGGGGACGGCGGATGGCGATCGCGGGCGGCGGACGACACCGGATGGACGATCGGACGACCGGCGATGGCTGGAGAGAAAAACCGAGAGGGAGAGACAGCGAGAGAGATGGAGAGAGTTTGCGTGGGTGAAGGGAAAGAGAGAAAAGGAAGCTGCGTATAAATGAGCTAAGGGATTCTCTTCCCATACATATAAGATTAGGTTAAACTCAATGACTTAGCCAACAAGTAAGCCAAGTAGGAGAGAGAGGGGGAGGGCCGCGGGTTCGGGGCGTGCGAGTCGCGGCTTCGGGTCGGTTCACTTACGGCTCGATTTAAATAAAATCCGGGCTTAAGACCACGCGAAATAAAATAAGAAAAAATATATAATAAATAAATTAAAATATTAATAATAATAATTAATTAAAGCATTATAACACACATTTAATACTTATGATATACATATTAGGCACATTTAATCAATTAGACAATTATACACATTATTAATACTAACAATAATAATAATAGTAACAATAATAATAATAATAATAATAATAATATCAATAATAATACATCCAATTATTCATAAATAAATGGGGCGTCACAGTAATAGCCCAGTCAACCCGTAGTAGGATATTGTCCGCTTTGGGTATACACCAGATCATTCTCTTACGGTTTTGCCATTGCGAGCTAGCTCACCAAAACGCGTCCAACTAGTGAAGGTATCCACAACCACTTATAAGGCATGCTTCGTTCTCCTTCACAACCGATGTGGGATATCTTATCCACCCCCCTTGGAGGGCCCAGCGTCCTCGCTGACACATTGATCCGGGCACTGGCTCTGATACCACTGTAATAGCCCAGTCAACCCGTAGTAGGATATTGTCCGCTTTGGGTATACACCAGATCATTCCCTTACGGTTTTGCCTTTGCGAGCTAGCTCACCAAAAGGCGTCCAACTAGTGAAGGTATCCACAGCCACTTATAAGGCATGCTTCGTTCTCATTCATAACCGATGTGGGATATCTGATCCACCCCCCTTGGAGGGCCCAGCGTCCTCGCTGGCACATCGATCCAGGCACTGGCTCTGATACCACTGTAATAGCCCAGTCAACCCGTAGTAGGATATTGTCCGCTTTGGGTATACACCAGATCATTCCCTCACGGTTTTGCATTTGGGAGCTAGATCACCAAAATGCGTCCAACTAGTGAAGGTATCCACAACCACTTATAAGGCATGCTTCGTTCTCATTCATAACCGATGTGGGATATCTGATCCACCCCCCTTGGAGGGCTCAGCGTCCTCGCTGGCACATCGATCCAGGCACTGGCTCTGATACCACTGTAATAGCCCAGTCAACCCATAGTAGGATATTGTCCGCTTTGGGTATACACCAGATCATTCCCTTACGGTTTTGCCTTAGCGAGCTAGCTCACCAAAACGCGTCCAACTAGTGAAGGTATCCACAGCCACTTATAAGGCATGCTTCGTTCTCCTTTACAACCGATGTGGGATATCTTATCCATCCCCCTTGGAGGGCCCAGCGTCCTCACTGGCACATCGATCCGGGCACTGGCTTTGATACCACTGTAATAGCCCAGTCAACCCGTAGTAGGATATTGTCCGCTTTGGGTATACACCCGATCATTCCCTTACGGTTTTGCCTTTGCGAGCTAGCTCACCAAAACGTGTCTAACTAGTGAAGGTATCCACAACCACTTATAAGGCATGCTTCGTTCTCCTTCAGAACCAATGTGGGATCCACCCACATTGGTTGTGAAGGAGAACGAAGCATGCCTTATAAGTGGTTGTGGATACCTTCACTAGTTAGACGCGTTTTGGTGAGCTAACTCCCAAAGGCAAAACCGTGAGGGAATGATCTGGTGTATACCCAAAGCGGACAATATCCTACTACCGGTTGCTCCTCGTACGATAAATCTGGCTGAATCTCTCGCTATGCTGAAGTATATGACCTGGATCGCACACGTATTTCCGTAACATTGATACATAAAAAACATTATACACATTGGATAGCTCGGGAGGTAAAGCTAATAGATAGGCTACATGAAAAACATTATACACATTGAAACGAGGATGTAACTTTCTTCTCTTCCCGAATCGAATGATCCCACAGAATGGTCGAACTCGTAGAAAGGCTCGCTCTCTAACCTCGAACTGAATATCTCGTCTGTGTTTGTCGGCTGATAACTTCTGCCCACTGGGAGCTGTCTTAAGCCTCTGTCTGATCAACTCTACTCGCTCAATTGTTTCTTCGATCATCTTTGGACCGAGTACTCGACGTTCGCCAACATCATCCCAGTAAAGGGGTGAACGGCATTTACGATCGTAAAGTGCTTCGTAAGGAGCCATCTGGATTGACGCCTAATAACTATTGTTATAGGAGAACTCGACTAATGGCAAAATCATCTCCCACTTGGCACCTCTGTCTAGAACCAAAGCTCGGAGCATATCTTTGAGCGTCTGGATGGTCTTCTCTGACTGACCGTCTGTCTTTGGATGGTAAGACGAACTGAACTGTAACTGCGTGCCACTTGCCTCGTGTAAACTCTCCCAGAATCTGCTGGTAAATTTGGGATCTCGGTCTGACACAATCGTAAAGGGCACTCTGTGGAGTCGGATGATCCCACGGGTATAAATTTCT